TGTCATAAAGCACGAATCATCTCAGCCTGGTTTCTTGAACATGACAATGAGTTTACTGTACTCAAATGGCCTCCACAGTCACCAGATCTCAATCCAATAGAGCACCTTTGGGATGTGGTGAAACGGGAGATTCGCATCATGGATGTGCAGCCGACAAATCTGCAGCAACTGCGTCATGTCAATATAGACCAAAATCTCTGAGGACTATTTCCAGTACATTTTTGAATCTGTGCCACAAAGGATTTAGGCAGTTCTAGACAAAAGTAGGTCCAACACAGTACTAGTGATGTGTACCTAATAAAGTGGCCGGTGAGTGTAATTTGATAATTGTTGCTTTGAAAAAGAAGTGACTGGACTAGGGGGGAAATACTAATGTTAGGATGTTTGGTTGCCTATTTTCATCAAAATATCATCCTTCTCATCATCCTTTTAACATATAAAGTTTTTATTTAATACATGCTTCAGTCAATGAGTGCGTAAAATAAGTTGAAACTGTTTTAAAGTTAATAGTGAGAGGAAATTTTGTGAAGCAGCATATTTCATGTTCTGGAGTGCAAAACCACTGGGAAACGCCCATACACACTCATTTACACATACACTACGGACAATTTAGCTTACCCAATTCACCTATACCGTATGTCTTTGGACTGTGGGGGAAACCGAAGCACCCAGAGGGAACAGGGAGAACATGCAGACTCTACACAGAAATGCCAACTGATCCAGCCAAGGCTTGAACCAGCAACCTTCTTGCTGTTAGACGATCGTGCTACCCACTGCGTCACCGTGCCGGCCCAAAATACAAAATATAAAATAGCTAATAATGTTCAGGTTCTGGCACAGAATGATCACTTTACATCATGGGCTTTCAGTGTACCTTCAGGAGCCAAGGGTTATGCTTTGAATATGCCTGTATGTTTTTTGCACCCTAAAATAGATGGAAACACCATTTTTTGCCCAAAATCATCTTACATTTTATATTAAATAAATAAAAATAAAAAAACACAGACATCTTGGTTAACCTGAGGTTGAGTAAATAAATAGATCACTTTCATTTTTGGGTTATCTATCCTTTATTTATCCTTTTGTCTTAAATGTTTTTGTTTTGTTATTTCTGTATTTGTTGCATTGCGAGTTCCAAAAAAAATCTAAAAATGTCCAAAATAGTCAGTCACTTGTTGTCTCTTATTGCTTAATTTGATCAAAGCACAAAGGATAGACCCTTTACTTGGTCTAAAAGGGTAAAAATGTAAATTCAAGAGTGACGTCATGGCTCAGGAACAGTTCACACACACATACACACACAGTGAATGAGGGAAATAAGTAGTGTTTGTCCGGCCTGTGAGAGAGGTGAGTGTGTGAAACAGCTCTCACCCCACAGGACGTCCCATCACGAGAGTCATCTGAATGGCTTAAAGACCTGCCGAGAGTGTTAGACCCTGGAGGGTGGCGATACACTGCGCCTTAACATGATTTAACGTACTCGTTCTCAGCCAATGAAATCCACTTGCAGGAATAAATGTGAAACATGACGGGAGTTTTAATGGTTTAGCGTAAAGATGTAATGGTCTGAAAATTTCATATCATGATCATAGTGACCAAAATGATCACAGTCATCAATATTATCACAGTTTGGTGAAAATGATCTGTGCTATATATGTCACACACATTTATTATTTCACATACATTGGTTTTACGTGTGTGTCTATGTGTCTTTTGAGGGGGAAACCGGAGAGCCCAGAGGAAACCCACGCCAACTCAGGGGGAACATGCAAACTCCACACAGAAACACCAACTGGCCCAGCCGGGACTCGAACCAGAGACCTTTTTGCTGTGAGGTGCTAGTGCTAACCACTGAGCCACCATGTCTCCCTATTTGATTTTCTTCCTTATGGTATTATTTGTTAAACCTTCACTTTTTCAAACTGCTTCACAAGGATCCATGTTCCTGATTCCACAGCCTGTCATTTTGGCAGTTTTCCTTCTATAAGCTAGCTTTGAGTTCTGAAACTGAAATACATTGTGCTTCACGCAGGTGAGTGGGCTTAACAAACCACTTGTAGGAGACACTCTTTTCCTCTTCATATGTTTCATTAGATGTCACAAATATAATAAATATGTCACATTTAGGACTCCTACATTTTTCCTCAGTGTGTGTGTGTGTGTGTGTGTGTGTGTGTGTGTGTGTGTGTGTGTGTGTGTGTGTGTGTGTGTGTGTGTGTGTGTGTGTGTGTGTGTGTGTGTGTGTGTGTGAGTGAATGTATTTTAAAAAAAAACTGCTAAACATACTTGGACTTACTTATCATGGCATCAGTGTTATCCTGGTCTCTAGTGATTTGAAGTGCTTCTATTATCCTCATTTTAAGTTGCTTTGGATATAGTGTCTTTTAAATAAATAAATGTAAACTATCAAAGCAGCACAAATGTAAATCTTATCCATGGAAAATATGCAACTTACATAAGTGACATACAAGGTAATCTTTGGATTTGACATATATAAATGTCATTTATGCAGCGTATATTTCAAAACATGACCGCTTTTAGATATTTTTCATGTATCAATTTGTTCAAATATATATTATATATACACTACCAGATAAAAGTCTTGTCGTCTATACAAGTTTTAGGAATAACAAATAATAACTTGACTTCTATTGATTATTTGGTGTCAGAAGTAGACAATTATTTTATACACTTATTTTACCAAAATAAAATGTGATTATGTCTTGATTTTCAATTATTTAATAAGGGCAGAAAGGTCTGACTTAGCTTAGACAAAAATCTTGTCACTTAACAGAAATAATGTCCAGTATAGAATATAAAGTCATGCTGCAGTGGAAACAGAATGAATATTGTGTCTGACTCCCATGAGCTTGGAGGACTGCATCCATACATCTCTGCTACTCAAATCACTTATTAATAAAGTCATCTGAAATAGCAAAGAAAGCGTTCCTGCAGGACTCCCAGAGTTCATCAAGATTCTTTGGATTCTTCTTCAATGTCTTCTCCTACATCTTACCTCAGACATGCTCAATTATCTTTATAACTAATGACTAATGAATCCTGGAGCCCCTTGACCTTCTTTGCTTTCAGGATCTTTGATGTGGAGGCTGAAGTATGAGAAGGAGCGCTATCCTGCTGAAGAGTTTGCCCTCTCCTGTGGTTTGTAATGTAATGGGCAGCACAAATGTCTTGATACCTCAGGCTGTTGATGTTGCCATCCACTCTGCAGATCTCTCACACGCCCCCATACTAAATGTAACCCTAAACCATGATTTTTCCTTCACCAAACTTGACTGATTTCTCTGAGAATCTTGGGTCCTTGTTGGTTCCAATAGGTCTTCTGCAGTATTTGTGATGATTTGGGATGCAGTTCAACATGATTTGTCAGAAAAATCTACCTTCTACCACTTTTCCAACTGATCAACTAAAAGTCAAGTTATTATTTGTTTCCCTTACAACTGGGATCGGCGACAAGACTTTCGTCAGGTAGTATTAAGTTGAAGTCAGAATTATTAGCCCCATTGTATATTTTCCTCATTTTTGTTTAACATAGATACAAATTTTTAACCGATTCTAAGCATAACAGTTTTAATAACTGATTTCTAATAACTGATTTCTCTTATCTTTGCCATGATGACAGTAAATAATATTTTACTACACATTTTTCAAGATTCTATATTCAGCTTAAAGTGCATATTAAGGGCCTAACTAGGTTAATTAGGCAAGTTCCAGATATTTTTGCAATATATAAATAAATAGATTCTGATTGGAAAAATAAAATTGCTCTGAAAGTTAGTCTAACAACCCTGTTCTTTTGTGCAGTTATTATATATTTTTTAAACTGGACCTACTACTAACATGCCTGTTTACAGTTTTTCTCAGTCACTTTGGTGCGTTTCTCACAACACTATTTACATTTGCACAACAGTTAATGCATTTCTCAAAACAATTAGTACAAACTGCAAAACCTAGCTGATAACCTGCAAAAGCGTGTCACTTGCTCAAAATGGATAGTTCATTCCTCAAAAGCAAGTATTGATGTCAATGAAAGTGTCAGTTTCATCAAGATGAAGAGTGTTATAAACAATGTTTATAAACAAGATAGTCAAATGGCTTTGTCATGTTTTCATTATGACAGTTTACTCTGTACATTTTTTCAATGCAATAAAGTCAGCTTTTGGTGACACTTCCTGAAAATGCTCAAGACAGCACTATATGCTATTTGCACTGAAAATTGAAAACTACAGTAAAGTTAGACATCACTGCATTTAGTGAGATGTCTGAGTACAAGACACTGAATATGTATGTTTCACATGTTTACTGCATTTGCATTTGCATTTCTAATTTATTCACAGCATTGTGCAGAACAGTAAATACACCCTTATTTACAACAAACATAAACTCCCTTTGGGTAGAGCTGTGCACAACTGTAGACAATATTGCAGAACATATTGGAACTGAACCTACAACACACAGGTCTGTAAATCATTCATATAATTGTTCAATTTTAAAGACATTTTCAGGACTAAAATTTAAAATCTTTTATAAATTTGCTAGACAGATTTTGACAACTAGTTCAACATTTTTGTATGTAATGACTCAAGTAATGAAATGAGGAATATTAGTTTTATATGGAATGACTATTCAGCATTTACAAGTTTAGTTTAATATAACTGACATGAACTGAGCAAATGATAATGGTATTAACAGCAGAGAGTTGTATGAAAGCAATTGATGCATGTCCAAAAGCATTTGCAATGTGTTGGAAGGAATGAGAAACTGATGTGCACAAATGACTGATTGTTTTGAGAAATGCATTAACTCTTGTACAAGTATAAATAGTGTTGTGAGAAATGCACCAAAGCCACTGAGAAAAACTATAATATAGTTCATATGAGAAACAAGCCACTGCCCCTCCTGCCACTCCATCATGTGCCACTATTGGGGCCCCTTTAAAGTGTCTCCAGCATCTCCTATTTGGAGTCTTCAAAGCTCCTCCCTGTTTGAGATCCTGAGTTTCAGGAGCTTCTTACTGGTGGAAGGTTATTAAATTCCCAGCACAGACTGGAAACTCTGATCACTCAGGGCATCTCTCAGCACAAGAGCTCACTGCAAGCAGGTAAGCAGCTCTTCTTCTCTCAGATATTTGTGGTTTATTTGTTTTAACCACTTGCATTGGAAACATTTAGGTAATAATTTATCTGAAGCAAAACATATATAAATAGATGAACTATCTTAATAATGTCTTTATAAATAAACTGATCTGAACTAAATATTTCATCCAGAAGACAATTTATTATGTAGCATCAAATGTGATTCACTCTAAATTGATGGATCTCAACTAAAAGATAGATAGATAGATAGATAGATAGATAGATAGATAGATAGATAGATAGATAGATAGATAGATAGATAGATAGATAGATAGAGACTTTTCTGAGATTTTCATTTACTAGATTGATTAAGGATGGGTTAAACATTAATATTTGTTTTATTTTATTAATGTCTGATAACATTTCTTACATTTTAAATTAATAAATTGCCATTTAGAAACTTTTTTGTTTTGTTTTTAGGGGTTGTTTAACCTAAAACTCAGTTGTTTCGAAGTTAAAACATTGCTTTTGTGTTGTCTAAATATATATATATATATATATATATATATATATATATATATATATATATATATATATATATACACACAGTTTAATATTGACATTTTCCCTTAAATTCTGTAAGAAATCTCATCTCAAACTGTTTCATATTCCTGCACTTTGTTGTCATTTTAATCAAATATATTTAAATATCACACAAACCAATTGTTATTTTCTTTTATGCTGTGACAGAATTGATTCAAATGGCTTACTAGTGCAAACTATTTAGTTTGCATTTAGATTTGCATGATTCTCTGCCGTTCCCGTTTGATGATTTGTAATGTAGGTCATTGTGTGGATAACGGAGTTAAGTCTCATTCTCTCCTCTTCTCTGGCAGTGTAGGGTCTCTTTTGGGTCACCGGTTCAGCCCAGCCAGCTTGATCTCAGTGTGTGGAGCGACAGCATGACCAAAAGCACAGGGGAGAAACCGCGGTCGCGCAGCCGCGTCCAGCAGTTCCGGGAGGGAATCCAGCTGCGCTCCCTAAAGGCCCGGAAGAAAGTTGAGGACATCAGTAAAGATGACGTGAAGGGCTTTCTGAGGAGAAATGCCTTTGTGCTCTTTACCATTGGAGCGGTGGTGTTTGGTCAGTCAATGTTTAGTGAAATCACATTTATTCAGGATGTTTTTAGAATATGACTGTTTATTGTTAAGAAGTCATCTAAGCAGTCTAAAGGGACAGTTCACCCAAAAATAATTTATAATAAATAATTTATGTCATCATTAACGTACCCTCCAGGCTCCAACTGTTTCAAACTTGTTGCTAATGTTATCCAACAATTAATAAATTTATTAGTAATAAAATTCATCCAACAAGTTGTCTTTATTTTATTTTATAATTAATAAAATAAATAAATAAAAGTCATACAGTAAATATTTGTCATAAATAATACTAATTAAAATGTCTGAAAAAATCTATAATAATATATGACCAATGTTATGTCAATATCTCTAATAACAAATACTCATAATTATTATTACTACCAGTAATTAGCTGGTCGTAATTGTTTCAAACTTGTCAGAATGTTGGAAACTAGTAGCCATTGACTTCCATTTAGTTGTCATTAATTGACATTAATATTTTTTCCTACTATGGATGTCAATGGCATCCATAGTCAACATTCAACATTCTTCAAAATATCTTCTTTTGTGTTCAGCGTTTTATATATATATATATTTATTTATATATATATATATTATTGAGTTGAATTAACAGAGAATAAATTACCATTTTTGGGTGAACTTTCACTTTAAGGACTTGAAAACAAGGAATATATTTGGTTTATGTCTGAACAAATGATTCTGCTACTGATCCATCTAATATAAAAATATATATATTGCAGGAATTACGCTGGGATTTGCTCTGAGGTCTTACAAGATGTCATACAGAGAAGTGAAGTATTTCTCCTTTCCTGGTGAGCTGTTGATGCGGATGCTGCAGATGCTTGTGCTTCCTCTTCTAGTCTCAAGTTTGATAACAGGTATGGTATTTCATTAATCAAAATTTTTATTAGCCTGTCATGTATTAGTAGCTGTGTCCCTTTTTATGTCAGGAGGTGTCCAAACTCAATCCTGGGGGGCCGGTGTCCTGGAGAGGTTAGCTCCAACCCTAATCAAGCACACCTGAACCAACTAATCAAGCTCTTACTAGATATACTAGAAACATGCAAGTTGGAGATAAACTTAGGACACCGGCCCTCCAGGACTGAGTTTGGACACCCCTGCTTTATGTTGTACATCAGAAACTTCATTCAGTATGTAATTATGTCGATCATTGTACTTCTGCCTTTCTTCTAATTATCTGAAAAATAATCCACCTCAGCTCACCACTTTAGTTTTTTATGCTTTTTTGTGTATTTTGTGCTATTGCTAGTTATTTTACATTCAATAATGAGGTAAAAGCTGCTGGTGCTTTCAGTATAGATATACATATTACACAAGATAGCAACAACAAAACTCACACTAGAAATACAGGAAAACTTTATTACCTTGCTAGCAAGACGTCTCATCCTTTTGATGATATTTATTCAATGGGATAAACCCCTTGAGATGTACCATCTCATTTTCAAGGGGGTCCCACAATTAATTACAATCACATAATAACAACACCAGAAGACAAAACATAACTTACAAAACATCCAAAAAACATGACATAACATAAGAAAAAATATATAATAATAATAATAATAATAATAATAATAGTAATAATAGTAATAATAGTAATAATAACAATAAACAAACAAACAAATAAATAAATAAATAAATAAATAAACAATAAATAAATAAATAAATAAATCAATAAATCAATAAGAAAAAAGTAGGGTGGGGGAAACACTTTTAAAGTGGAAACATGTCTCTCCACCCTCATTTTATTCCAAAATATATTTATTGGGTTTTGTTTGAACTACAGAAAAAAATACATAAAAAATAAAAAGACTAATGGTTAAAAAGGTGAAAATAAATATGTAAATAAATGACAAATTCAAATAGTAACAGTGCATAATTAAAAAATAAATAAATAACAATGTTCAGTACAATTTTGCACCTTGCATTTCACAGCTTTCCAGTGTGTGCTGGTTAAACAGATTTATTAATTGTTGCTGGAATGTAGGACATCTGAACAATATAATAAGACACAGACAAGGGTTTGAAAGCTCAAACATCAAGAAAAGTTGTGTGGTTTACCTGGTTTAGAAAGTGTTGAAAGGGTGTCCATCTTTTATTTAAAAAAATAATAATAATTTTCCTTTTACAGTGTATGTCAGCTTCTCCAGAGCAAGATTGATAATCATTTCTTTACTCCACTGGCCACAGGATGGCCTTTGAGTTTTCTTTTCCAATTTAAAGGCAAGGCAAGTTTATTTATTTAGCACATTTATAACACAGTGGCAATTTAAAGTGCTTTACATAAACATTAATAAAAGAGACAAGTATAAGAAAATAAAAACAAAGAATAAAAATGATTAAAACAGATTAAAATGTGTTAAACAGGTTTTAAAATAGTGAAAAAGAAAAGAAAGATATAATAGTGTGACCTGTCGAACGCAGCACAGTGCTCATTCAGTAAAGGCACAGCTAAACAGATGTGTTTTCCGTCTTGATTTGAACATGCATAATGTTGAAGCACATCTGATCATTTCTGAAAGCTGATTCCAGCAGCGAGGGCCGTAGTTGCTGAAAGCCGATTTACCCTGCTTTGATTGAACTCTTGTAATTTCTAGTTTATATGATCCTAAAGATCTGAGTGATCTGTTAGGTTTGTATTCAGTGAGCATATCTGTAATATATTGAGGTCCTAGGCCATTTAGTGATTTATAGACCAGTAATAATACTTCAAAATCTATTCTGAATGTAACTGGCAGCCAGTGTAAAGACCTGTGATGTGCTTTGATTTTTTGGTAAAAGCATGAACAATTCATTCATAAAGGAATAACACGCTTTGCTGGGAGTAAGCTGAAATCTAATAGTTTGCATTTACTTGTGTTCAGATCAAGGTTTACACGGTATATATAAAATAAACATGGTTTGGGAACCAAATGTATATTTCTCCACCCTCTTTTGATGCATGGATAAAAGAAGTGCTCTTTTTAGATTATTTGCTGGTTAACTCTCTTGATTCTTAAGCTGATCAATAATATATGAATATATATTTATCATTCATTTTTATTTATTTATTTATTTACTTATTTACTACTCATTAATTGTGTTTATTTAGTTTTTTCTATGGGAATTTATAGGCTGCTGTGGTAGGGAAGTGTTTATTTAGGGTAGTGTTAGCAACAACATGGAAGGATAATTATAAAATGAATGTTGTAGTTGATATTCCATGTGGAAATTAATAATAAAAGACATTTGAAATAAGAAATACATAAACTGAAAGCAGATAAACAGTAAGCATTTTTTCATGTGGTCACATGACATGAAAACTGCTGGTTTATAGTAAAAATATTACTTTGAGATTTTAGAGTTACCTAGGGATGTTCGTTTTGTGCTTTAAGGCTAACTGAATTAATCAAGTTATAATCAGAAACCATAATTTTCACTTAATCCAATATGAAAATGTGAATGAAGGACAGAGGTTTCACTTTTTTTCAGTGCACATCCATTATTATCCCGAAATGCACATCATGCAAGTCAATGGAAACATAGCTAAATAAGGCTATAAAATACAAATTCGATTTGAAACAAAAACTGCTAAACTCAAGTTGAAGTTTAACCTCTTAATGGGTTGTAGGCAATAAAAAAAGGGGCGGGGTCAACCAGTATTGTCAGCATTGGCCATTCGTACAGCAGCTCATTTGTTCTGAACTGATGGGAGCAGCCAATAAAAATATCATCCCAGCCACTGTAGCTTTTATTGACTAAGCTGGTTATAAGGAATCAGGTGTCTGAGGACTTATAAACCTTGGACAGTACTAGAGGGAGACTGCTCTGAGAGGGCTCTGAGTGTGGGATTGTGGGAGTGGATGAACGTTTTGAAATGATTCTATAGGATGTGAAAGAGGAAAGCGGTGAAAAGAGGCCTGGAAAGGAAGGAAATTAGTGGCCAATTAATGCCAACACAGAGAACAAACAGCTCTGGAATTAAAGAGCCACAGAATGCAAATCAATGTAAATTTAATTAGTGACGCAGAGAAGTCTTAAAGCGACAGTTCACACAGACGTGAAGATTCTGCCATGTACTCAATCACAAAATTACTACACAATTGTATAGCTTAGCTTTACATTTTTGGCTGAATGTAAAAGACATTGATAAATGCTTCTGGTTCCCATTGACTTTCATACTATACATTTTTTATGCTTATTTTTCACACTAAGTCATCAACACAATCTCTTATCAAACGAACAAACAAACAAACAAACAAACAAACAAACAAACAAACAAACAAACAAACAAACAAACAAACAAACAAACAAACAATCAAATAAATTAATAAATAGTTGTATTCATTTATTTGAAGTAAAATTACCAGCAAATATTGTTTATTTGCTGGTAATTTTTATTGTAGTTTATTATTAACTTACTTTTAAATAACTAAATAAAAACTAACTAATTAATTAATTAATTTAATGATGCTATAAAATATTATGTTATAATAATATGTTATGTTTTTTAATAAAAGTTAATTGACTTGTTGGACATGTTACCCAACAATTTATTAATTTATTAATTTTTGGATAAAATGTCTAACAAGATATCTTAAATTGATTTTATAATTATAATAGCAAAAATGTCTATAATTTTTATTGATTAACCAGTTATAGAGTAAATACCCAACAGTCGTAATTAATTGTAGTTTAAATGATTTAATTGTTATTTATTATTACTAGTACTCCTTCCGCACAACATGAGCAATTTCTTCAGCATGACATGTGTGCACTGGACTGTTTGCTGTTTATCTGGAGACACAGAGAGGATGAAAGAGCTCTGAAACAGGCAGGTGGAGGAGTTTCCCAAGCCTGGAAAGAGAGACAGACACAGAGAGAGAGAGAAAGGCAGAGAGAGAAAGAGAGTGGTTGAGATACTCCACATATGAACAGAGCTAGGAACTTGAACTTGAACAGATGCTGAAGTTTGGGCCCCCAGGAGGACAAGAGGACCAAACAATGGCTGAATTCTCTTTCTGCTCTGGGGATCAGAACTGCAGAAAAGCCTGCATTACTTTTAAAATCTTTTAGCAAGTGAGAGTTTTAGTCAGGACTACTACAATGATTGCCGTGAAAGCAACACAGTTTAGTCTTTTTTTTTTTTTAAATAAAAAATAAGGATTATATCACCATTTAAAATATCAATGAACAAACTAATAACATTGTAGTTCTTGATTCTGATTGGTTGAGCCATGTTCAAAGCTTCAAACAAACACTTGTGATTGTTGCTTGGAAATCTGCCATCAGCTAAAGCTAAAGAAACTTACTGTTACCTTCACCTGTGACCTACACTGTAAAACGTTCCACATAGTTCCTTCATGTTGTCCCAACACAAATCGATTAAGTTAACTTAATAATTTGTACAAATTTAAGTGGATTCAGTAAGTTGGAACAGGCAGCAAAAGTACTTTTGTTTTAGTGTATATGAAATAATCAATTTATTCAATTCATCTTTGTTTCTATAGCACTTTTACAATGTAGATTGTGTCAATGCAGCTTCACATAGAAGATTATAGTAAATTATAGTGTCAGTTCAGTTTTCAGTGTTGCAGTTTAGTTCAGTTCAGTGTGGTTTAATTTTCACTGCTGAGGGATCAAACACTGAAGAGCAAATCCATCGATGCGCAGTTCCCGAACCATGCAAGCCAGTGGCGACAGCGCCGAAAAGAAAAAACTTCACCAATCGGCAAAAGTGAAGAATTAAAAAACCTCGAGACAAACTAGACTCAGTTGGGCCTGACCATTCCTCCTATGGCCAAACGTCTTGTGCAGAGCACTGGACGTCCATAGTGGAGTAGCTGCAGGTGGGAGAGGTCACCGGCTGATACACAGGCTGTCCCTTCTGGATCAATGCGAAGAAGTAAATGTGAGTCCAAAACTGCTGCAAATCTTGCTTAATGTCCAAGTGATGAAAGTGTGTTTTCTACAGGTGGTTTGTCAAACACACTCATCTGTGTGAGGCACACATCAAAAAATCTTTTTTTTTTGAGATATTGAGTGATTGTAAGAAAGTGTCTGGTTCAAATGTTCAAAACTGCTGCCATCCTCGCTTAAAATGTCAGAGTGATAGAAGAGTGTGCTTTCTACAGTTGGTTTGTCAAGCCCACTGACCTGTGTGAGTCACACTTTAGAAATGCACAGTGTTTTTTTTACGAGATTTGCAGTATTCATTTATTCATTTTCTTGTCGGCTTAGTCCCTTTATTAATCCGGGGTCGCAACAGCGGCACGAACCACCAACTTATCCAGCAAGTTTTTGCGCAGCGGATGCCCTTCCACCCGCAACCCATCTCTGGGAAACATCCACACGCACACACACTCATACACTATGGACAATTTAGCCTACCCAACTCACCTGTACCGCATGTCTTTGGACTGTGGGGGGAAACCGGAGCACCCGGAGGAAACCCACGCGAAGGCAGGGAGAACATGCAAACTCCACACAGAAACGCCAACTGAGCCGAGGTTCGAACCAGCGACCTTCTTGCTGTGAGGCGACAGCACTACCTACTGCGCACTGCCTCGCCCGAGATTTGGAGTAATTGTAAGAAAATGTATGATGCAAACTGTTGCTAGTGTGGGTTAAAGTGTCTAAAAGAGTTGATGAAAGAGTGTGATTTCTACAGGTGGTTTGTCAAGCCCACTCACCTGTATGTTTCTTTCTAGGCATGGCAGCGCTGGACAGCCGAGCTTCTGGGAAGATGGGCATGCGTGCGGTCATTTACTACATGACCACCACCTTCATCGCAGTGTTCATTGGCATCATCATGGTCCTGATCATCCACCCAGGCAAAGGCTCAAAAGATGAGTTCACCAAACAGCAGAAGATCGAGCAGGTCAGCCCGGCCGATGCCTTCCTGGACCTCATCAGGTAATGGGACGACCAGCCAGACTGCCAAAATACTCAAATTAACCCGGCACTCAATTTAATATATACACTCTTTCTTCAGAAACATGTTTCCTCCTAATCTGGTTCAAGCCTGCACTCAACAGGTGAGGATTATTTTTTACTTTATTGTGGTACTTAGAAATTGTTCAATTTTGTTTTATGTTATTCTGGATAATCATAAAGAATTATTAAAAGCTCACTTTCTCTTGCACACATTTAAAAAATAAAATATCGGTCTTGTTCAGGGGTGCCCAAATGTTTTTTTATGAAGCGTCAAAAACCAAACCTAATTGAGGGTTGTGATCCGAAGGGAACTATAGCAGCCATGGTTAATTTCCTAATTTATTTAATAATGTTTAAAAATAATTAGAAAACAGTGCTTTATATTAACTAATACAGCACACTTTTTACATTTGATAATGAACATATTACAGTGAAAACAAAAACAATCGCATTTATGACAGAATGGAGTTACACTAGTTTTTGCCTTGATTTGCTTACCGATGTCTTCTGCCAGGCCTGGATTGGCTAATCGGGAGGACCGGGAGAATTCCCGGTGGGCCGGTCTGTTTTTTGGCCGCGAGGGCCGGTGTCCCTAGTTCCAGAATCTGTAGCTCTCAGCAGTCACACTTTTAAAAAATAATTTATTTATTTACTTGACCACAGCCTTCTTATTCATTATTTTACCACAGCTCCGCTCTTTTTATCTATTTTCTCGTAGCCTCGTGAGCAGGATGCAGCCTGCAGGTTAAAGATGATATAACTAGATAAGTCACCATTCAATGTACAGCTGTTGTGGTACAGTGATTAGTACGTTAGATTATGACGCGGCCAACCTGGGTTCGGTCCTTGTCTGAGTAACAATTTTTTTTTTTTCATTTTTATTGTTAAGACATAATACTGTTAGGGTTGTTGAACATTTGAAGTTCTAAAAGAGCTGTTTTCTCAAAAAAAGACGTGATAGTGTAATTAGAAACTGAATTGGAAATAACCTTATTTTAATATAGTCAGTGGTGAACTGAGGTGGGCCGGTCTGAGGCTTGAAACTCCAGGGCTGAAAAAGAGTCCCACTCCGGCCCTGTCTTCTGCATAGTTCTTTATGCATCGAGGGACGTTATTAAAAATCAGATTTATTTACAATAATAAATTAAAACATTTTATTTCAGTTTACTTTATTTGTAGCTGAGCAATAAAACAAATCAACTAAAAAAGGTTATGTCAAATTAGAAATGATGAGCTCTTTTAAAGGCATTTGCCACATCCCTCTCCGTCCTTCTCACTCTCTTTTCAGATGGGATTGTGGACCAAATCAAAGGTTACAATGGGCCAACTTTGGCACATAGTCCCTACTTTTGGGCATCTCTGCTCTTGCCTATAATGATGTCACTAAAAACAAAAATAATATAAGTATGCTTAAACAATTAAAATTAATTCTATTTATTTTGACAAGCTAAATAATAATAAAAATAATACTCTTAATGTAGGTTTAAGAATATTAAAGCCTGTAAAAGATGATTAAAGTACTATTACAATTTTACAAAAATTAAATGTTTCTGTATTTTAAAAGCTTAATGTTGAATTATAACTTTCTGAAAGGAGCGACACAGTGGTTTAGTGGTTAGCACTGTCGCCTCACAGCAAGAAGGTATCTGGTTCAAGTCCCAGCTGGGTCAGTTGGCATTTTTGTGTAGAGTTTGCATGTTCTCCCCGTGTTGGTGTGGGTTTTCTCTGGGTGCTCCGGTTTCCCCACAGTCCAAAGACATGCGCTATAGGTGAATTGAATAAACTAAACTGGCTGTAGTGTATGAGTGTACATGTGAGAATGTATGGGTGTTTTCCAGTACTGGGTTGCAGCTGAAAGAGCATCCGCTGCACAAAACATATGCTGGATAAGTTGGCAGTTCATTCTTCTGTAGCACCCTCTGATAAATAAAAGGACTAAGCTGAAAATAAAATCAATGAATGCATGTATTAACTTTCTGAAAGCAATGGTTAAATAAAGGATTTGCTTGCCTGAAATAATAATCTTTACAAAAATATAAAATCTTTTTACAATTCATTTCATACTACAAATATAGAAAAGTTAATAATCAAACAATAATTAAAAAACTAAAAGTGACTATTAAATGCGCCTTCATAACCTTAAAGAAGTTAAATAGCAATTTACCGAAAACAAAACAAGCAAACAATAAATAATATGTTAAAGCAATTGTGCCAAAAATGGTTGCAATACAGACTCTTTGTGAAAACGTAGCCCTGTATACAGTACATTTCTGGAGAGTGTGAATTAAGTAGCCAGAGTTAGATATGGCTGCATTTCGTCTTTAAAACGAACGCTATCGGGCGGTATGACACAGCCGATGGCTTCTGTTTCTTATCACGCTACCAGCTGACCGCTTACCTCCGTGTGGACGGCTTTTCCACTATTACTAGTTTTTGTCCAGTGGCTCGCAGTGTACATCAGCAGACTTGAGACACAGAGAGGGGTTCGAGTCCAGTAAAGAACGGTTACAGAAATCAGGTAAAACAAAAACAGAAACCAAAAAATTAAACAAACAGGTTAATAACAAGGTGACAATGTGGTAAAATCTAAAATAGGGTAAAAATTAGCAGATGGCTTGTCTTTTTCTGGATTGCTTTTAAAAACCCTTGGTTGGGTTTAGGGAAGGGGTTGATCGGGTCAATCGGTGCTTTTGAAAACACTGTCGAATGTCACTCACGAGAGAAATCTGACACGTGAAGAAGGGTACACAGCGGCCTCTGGTGCATTTGCAAAAACAGCAAAAAAAACGTAGATCCTGGGATGTATTTTGTGTTCTCCAGAAATGTATATAGGGGTGCGTATTGATAACGAACTTAGGTTGCATGTATTTAATATTATGCAATAATACAATGTTATTAAACATATAGTATATTCAACAAAAAAAGTAAATCACAAATATTTATGTAAAAATGAATATTGCCTCTATTGCCTCACAGCAAGAAGGTTGCTAGTCGAGCCTCGGGTGGGTCAGTTGCTGTTTTTGTGTGAAATTTGCATGTTCTCCTTGTGTTTGTGTGTGGGTTTCCTCTGTGGGTTTGCTCCAGTTTCCCCCACAAGTCCAAAGACATGCGCTGTAGGTGAATTGGGTAAGCTTAATTGTCCGTAGTGTATGTGTGTGAATGAGTGTGTGGGTGTTTCCCAGTGATGTGTTGCAGCTGGAAGGGCACCCGCAGTGTAAAACATATGCTGGATAAGTTGGCGGTTCATTCCGCTGTGGCGACCAGAGATTAATATATAGGTAAAAATGTACTGCATCATAGCAAAAAAGTCAAGTAGTAGACAGACGTTTAATATTTGTTAATATACACTGGGAGATACAAAAGATACACTGGGGTGAAGCATGCGTCTCTCTCTGTTCAGCAGGAAACCAATTTATCATCTCACTTTATCAGATTTGATGACATCTTAAAGCACAAAAAATGAATATTTATCCTTTTTGGATCTAAAGTGTTTTTTTCTGGGAGGCCTTGAATTACTGTTGACAATGCTGACAACATTTCATATTTCTTCCTGCTGTTGCTGGCCCAAGCGAGTGGACTTAGCATGTGAAGAACAGACGTTTTCCGTTGAGCATTTAGAGATTCTGGCTTGAGCTGGAGCCAGTCGCCGGCTGAGAGCTTTGGCACAGCTGAGATTGAGCCACAGCCGGGTATAATGGCACAGAAACGGCCAGACAATGACCCTGACAGAGGCTCACAGTCTGTCCGGACACACTCCACTGGGACGCCCTGTAGTCAAGCAGACTAAAAAAAAACGCATATCTCACACACACTGAAAAGAGCCGTTCTCTGAATCAGTTTCTAGTGATCCAAATCCACACATCAAACTAGAGATGACAGTTTCACAAATTCTCATGACCGATCATCGGCGGCGACAAAGTTGCTGGTTCGAGTCCCAGCTTGACCACTTGGCATTTCATGTGTGGAGTTTGCATGTTCTCCTCGTGTTGGTGTTGGTTTCCTCTGGGTGCTCCAGTTTCCCCCACAGTCCTAAGACACAAGCTATCATTGAACTTGCATAAACTAAATTGCCTGTATTGTATGAGTGTGTGTGTATGGGTGTTTCCCAGTACTGACAGGGTTTCTGCAGGGTCCTAAAAAGCCTTAAAAATTATTTTTACTGAAATATTGTGTTGTAGGTCTTCAATCTTTTTGAAACAGGTCCTAATTTTTCTTTGTTCATGTATTGCTACCCAATCTGGCCAAAATTCATACAATCACCAGCAATACATCTCAATAAAACTTTAAACTTTTTTTTTAAACAGCAGTTTTAAACTCATAATGGTTTAATTATTTTCCTTACAATAACATTTGTTTTAAAGTTTTTATTTTAATAAGTAAAGTTTTAATAAGTAAAGTATTTACTGCTTAGGACATCGACCTGGACAGGATGTTGTGCATCATTTAGTTAATTAAAGTAAAAAAAAATAAAAAGCATTTTGACAAAATATTAAAAATATTTTGCTAAGAAAAAAATATAAAATATAAAAATATATATATAATTGTATTATTAAATATATTAAATTATAATATTTCTTTTGATAGGGCAAAAATATATATATTTTCCATCTGGGCCATTGGAAAACAATCCTTAGCCTTTAGCCCTTAATGAGTCTAAAATTTCACTTATAATGGTCTTGAAAATGTCTTAAATTTAACTCTGTGAAACCTGCAGTAACTCTGACTGGGTTTGGACTGGAAGAGCAACTGCTGTGTAAAACATATGCTGGAATAGTTGGCGGTTCATTCCCCTGTGGTAACCTGATAAATAAGGGACTAATCTGAAGGAAAAATTAATAATAGTATAATATTCTCAGATAAAATGGTTTCACTGTAAATAAAAGATCAGTAGTATTGTAAATATCAATGATTGATAATTATTTACAACTATTTAATGATTAAATAATATAAACAAATAGTATAAAATGAGTCAATATTGTCATCTCAGGTGTTCTCACTCTTACCTTGTGGATGTGTGCATCCAAAAGAGTAAATAGTTTTTGTTATTGTGTGCTGTATTCTGTTCAAATCTGCATTTTAAGATCTGAATAATGTGACAAGGCAAAAATTCATAATCATCTATGATGTGTTAAAGGCTCATGCTATTTGTTAAGGAAGTCTTACAGCGGTTGCAAGACTTGGCTCAAAGATGTGGCGTGCATAACAGTTGGAAGTATCGCACACCAGGGGCCTCATGTATCAACGCTGCGTACGCACAAAAACTTTGCCTACACCAGGTTTCCAGATCATGTTTGGATTTACTAACGATGGAATTAACGTGAAAATGTGCGTTGGTCTACGCCAATTCATGCCTGGCGTACGTGTATTTCTTGTGTGTGTTTGTTTTATTTCTATTGGCTACTTCTAGAGGCAATTGTGTTAAATTGCACACTACAAAGTATCTTTAAGCTGTGCAATGGCTGTATGGGACGGGATCATCCGCATGTCTAGCAGGTATATAAGGTTTCCATAACATGCAGTTGACCAGCCAAACATTCATTCATTCGTTCATTCATTTTCTTGTTGGTGTAGTCCCTTTATTAATCCGGGGTCGCCACAGCGGAATGAACCGCAACTTATCCAGCAAGTTTTTTACGCAGCGGGTGCCCTTCTAGCTGCAACCCATCTTTGGGAAACATCCATACACACATTCACACACACACTCATACACTACGGACAATTTAGCCTACCCAATTCACCTGTACCGCATGTCTTTGGACTGTGGGGGAAACCGGAGCACCCGGAGGAAACCCACGCGAAGGCAGGGAGAACATGCAAACTCCACATAGAAAAGCCAACTGAGCCGAGGCTCGAACCAGCGACCCAGCGACCTTCTTGCTGTGAGGAGTCAGCACTACCTTCTGCGCCACTGCCTCGCCCACCAGCCAAACATTAAAGCGAAATTTGCAGCGATCGCCGGTTTTCCCAATCTAATCAGAACGATTGACTGCGCGCACATTGCTATAAAGACGCCATCTGTAGACAAATTTGCATACGTGAATCAGAAACATTTCCATTCAATAAATGTGCAAATGTGATGCTCAAATGCGCTTAACAAATATTGTAGCATGGTGGCCTTGGTCAACCCTTGATTAATTCATCCTCACAAACAGCATGGTTGGGATGAGGCTCCAAGGTGGCAGGCACTCGGTCAGTTGTAGAGCGGGCGATTGGGTAGCTGAAATGCCGGTGGTGCTGCCTCGATAAGAGCGGAGGGGTGCTGCTATACCGCCCCAAGAAAGTGTTCCTCTATTACATCTGTGTCTCTTACACACACGGATACTACTCCAGACAGTGAAGTGTCACCCACAATTGAGGCAACTCTCTCCTCAAAGGGTGTTAGTTCAGCATCCCCTGTTCACCCGCCTGTTTGGTTCACACTTTGACGGTGTGCCGCTGTTCTCCTCTTAACCTGCACCATTTCTTTTTCAGTTCACTCACAGTGCGATGTTCAGACCCCACTGCGTTAACTGCTTCACTTTTCTCCGGTCAACCACCAATAGAAGCACCTCCAATCCACATTCTGTGAAGTTTCTCTTCTTGTTTGCTTTTGCCATTGCTTTTTTGTTTGGTTTAGCCAAAGTAGAGTCATTATTATATTTACACAGGGGAGGAGGCCGGGAGGGGTTTTGTGCTCCTGCACGTGCACTCAGTTCATGTTAATTCGGATGTACAAAGAGGATATACGTGGGATTACGTGTACGCAGTGTTTCATACATCTGAATTTTTTACTGCGTACGCACATTTACAGCTTTGTCCGTACGCAATGTTTTAGTATTAATTCAACGCAAGTCTTTGTACATGAGGCCCCAGGTGCGCACATTCAAATGATATTTAATATGAAACTATTCAGATTTCTATGCAGAAATATGAGCAGGGTCCTGAGACGTAGCTGGCGCCGCAGACAGCTGCTGACTTTCTGCGCTGGTGTGCATACACTGATAGAAATCTATGTTTAGAACTGTAGGCGGAGAGCATCCAGTGTGCAACCTCCTTTATTGTTGTCTAAAGTATTGACTGATACCTAAAAGTAGTGAAATTTTAAAAGCATAAATTTCCTGTAACATTCGTAACATTTGAGCGCTGTTGAGCAGCTTCTTAAATATTGCTGATTTTCCATTGTCTTTACAAACACAACAGAAATATATGTGATTGGCTACAATGATAATCACTTCACACTCTTCACCGAGCATGCACAGAACACTGAAGCATCTAACCAAGGATTCATGAGCAAATATTTGAGCGATCTGCTGACTGGCAACCTTAAAACGCTCCCATGGTCATTTATCTTTGTATCCCATGCCTGTCACACATACATTAATAAATTAATAAAGGGACTATGCCGAAGGAAACTGAATGGATGAATTAATATTATTATAATTATTTACAAAGGATAGAATAAATAGTGTACATTAGACAAAGCTGCAAATAATTTAGCAGACAGTTTAGCCTTTTAAAATAAATAGCCATTATAAAGAAATTGAATCCGGTTATCAAATCTCATTAACCTTTTCAGCACTGCATAATTGAAACATTCTGATTAAAGAGCAGCAAATTAATCTCTTAAGATTTTTTGTTTGATTACATTAAATGACAGAGGTAAAGAGACCTCTTGTGGTCGTTTTTCTGTTAAGGTGTGGGTGTCTGTGTTTGTGGGCGTCTATGTGCATGTGTCTGTGTGTTAAAGGGCCAGCTGATTGCGCCGGGATTGAAAACACAGACATATGGTCGGTTCTCACTGTTATAAACAGCGTATTTGTTTTTGACCTTTTTTGGGGCTGCAGTCAGAGTCTGATGGTCGTCTATTTTTTCTTGAGTCCGGCCAGGATCAGAATAGAGCTAACAAGATGCTGTTTAGTGAAATTAGTTAAAAAATAAATATATGGGGTATGATTCCCGCTTCGGGTGCGAGAGTTATTCTGTAGTATCTGGATGCAGCCTTTATGATGCAAGCTGAGATTGCATCACTCAGCGATGCAATGTCAGACACAATGGACTCTATGGAGATTTGGAGCATTGGTGAAGTTGTTAGAGTGGCTGACTATAGAATTGGTAACCTAGTAACCAACAGTAAACAAGGCTCGCACAATAGAGACAGCTGATTGGTCGCATGGGTTTGATGTTCGATTCATCAGAGTTTATTTCGGCAAGTGTTTCCATCTCACATTATTCACCTTTATACACCAAAGTTTGGTGTATTGTTGTAATTTGGTGCATCGATTTTTAAAGTATTATTGACAATTGATTAATTGTTGATTAATTGTTGGCATCTCTAAACCAAAGATTAATCTTCTTGCTCATTTTTCTTCCTCCTCCTGTAGTTTAAGACTCAGTATGGCAAGAGGATCATCCACGTGAAGATGATTGTGAACGATTCGATCTTCAACTTGACGAACGCTACGCAGGAGATCGCTCAGGAGGAGGTGATTCCTCTGTCGGGCACCACCAACGGCGTCAACGCTCTCGGCCTGGTGGTGTTTTCAATGTGTTTCGGCCTGATAATCGGGAACATGAAGGAACAGGGACAGGCTCTCCGAGATTTCTTCGACTCCCTCAATGAGGCCATCATGCGACTTGTTGCTATTATTATGTGGTGAGTGACTCATTCCAGACACACAAACAGGAGCAAACTGTGGGGGAAAAGTAAACTAGTTTAGAAACTGTGTTAATGTAGCCTACGGCAGATCTTTATTTTTTTTTTTTCCTCTTCATTTTTTATTTTTAATAATGAGCTTACAATAAATCACACTAGTGCACATAACATCTGAACATATACACTATGGTCAATTTTAGCATACCCAATTAACCTGTACAGCATGTCTTTGGACTTTGGTCTTTGGGGGAAACCTTACTACCCAGAGGAAACCTACGTGAACACGGGGAGAACATGCAAACTCTACACAGAAATGCCAACTGACCCAGCCGAAGCTTGAACCAGCGACCTTCTTGCTGTTAGGCAACAGCACTGCCTACTGCGCCACTGCGTCGCCTATATTATATTATATTATATTATATTATATTATATTATATTATATTATATTATATTATATTATATTATATTATATTATATTATATTATATTAATGCTTGGAAAAAAGTTGATGCTTTTGTTAAACAAGCAAGTAAATATTAAATAGCTAACTTACTATTCATCAACAAATGTATCAGTTTTAACAAACATTAAGCAGCACAGTTGATCTAACACTGATTATAATAAGAAAAGTTAAATACATATTATAATTACTTTTTGAAGGATCATGTGAAGTCTGGGATAACCATGCTGAAACTTCAGAAATAAATAACATTTCAAACAATTTAAAATAGAAAGCAGTTATTTCATTATAACATTTAAAACTAGCACAGTGTATTTTTGATCTTCTAAATGTAGCTGTGCCGGTCATAAGTGTTTTTTTTTTGTATTTAACAAGACCATACATAGTAATATATAATACAGAATAAATAAACAATTACAGACTATCTTAGTTTTTTTGTTTTACTACTATCCCCTTAAAATGAAATAAAATAAATAAAATTTATTAATTTAAACTAACATATCCTCTGAGAAAAAAAATATGATTAAAAATGGAAAAAATAAATTAATAAATAATAATAATAATTTTTTAAAATGTGCAAGTTTACCAATAAAAAAGTAAAAAAAAAGAATTAGAAAAGAGAAAAGATAAAGAGATCGATATTTCCTCTTTTCAGTTATTTAATTTACTGTCTATCAGAGCTAAAAATGCCTTTTAAAAGCATTTAAAATGATTAGCAGTGATTGTGTTTGTATCAATATTAACCATTATGATATAACTTCCTCAGTAAATATTTATCTGTGTTTATTTAATGCCAGTTTGTTTATGATAAGGTTTTGATTACAGTAAAAAAAAATCAGCCTTAACAACAAATTGATTTGTCAAGTACATGGCTAAAGAAAAAGAAATTCATCAGATTCATCACACAAAAGCCTCAGCGTAATTTGCTGCAAAATTAGATTGATTTTCTCATTGTCTGGGCAGAAATGCTCTCATTTTGAGTGACCCTTTTTTCCTAACCCTTTTTTTTTCCATCTGCATGAGTAGCTTAGTGACATTTTAGGAAATCTTATTAACAAGCATGGATGTTTCTGGATGCCTTAGTTTCATACAGATTTCTAAACATAATAGTTTTAATAACTTGTTTCTAATAACTTATTTCTTTGCCATCTTTGCCATGATGACAGTACAGAATATTTTACTAGATATTTTTCAAAATGCTAGCATTCAGCTTAAAGTGACATTTAAAGGCTTAATTAGGTTAACTGGGCAAGTTAGGATAATTAGGCAAGTCGTTGTATGGATGGTTTGTTTCAAGACCATAGATTTGCTTTTGATATTGGTGGGTAATTTGACACCAACCTCCACACCCCAATTATAAGATTTAAATGTAACTTCACATTTAAACTGTAAAGTAAAAGGAATTTCTGACAAAACAGGTAGTTTAATAAAGACTTCCGTTTACTGAGAGCTTATTTGTGCATAATCACTTACCGCCACACCTGAACACCATTTTTGCAAGTAAACATGTCTGAATTGTTGGACTTTTCTCCAAGTCCTCAACATGCTTAAGCCGGTCGGAGGCAGTAAATAATTTCAATTGTTTAATATCAAGAGCACGTGGAGGACTTGGGAAAAGTCCAACAGTACCTTAAGCTAAAAGATGACTTTACATGTCCATATTCTGTTCCTTCCCTGAGCATGTAAACAAAACAACACATGTTCAATTTTGCGCTTAAAAAATAAAAATAATTAAATAAGTAATAAATAAATAAAATAAAATAAACTATTAGAAAAAACAACAAGATTAAATCAAGCATGTCTGACAATGCAAAACTACATTTAAATGATTTTACTTTGACAAGGAAAGGGGGAGGCATATGACACAATGAACATTTTATCTCGATTGTTGTTTTTTATTAACAAATTCAAAAAAAGAAATTATTAATTGCACATCCCTGATTACTATTTTGGTGGACTTGTAGCGAACTTGACTTCAAGTGCCTTACACTTTTCTTTGAAACGTAGCTGCTTATGTCCATTCTCACGCGAGTCTTGCACAGTAAGCCTGACTGAAAAACTTCGACTGAGCATTATTTTATTTTGGAGGCGAATAAATTATTGGTGGGAACATTTCCTTAATTGGTGGATATTGGTGGAGACACGTCCCCTCTGGTCATACTCATTCCACACCCTTGGTTTGTTCTGTAGACAACCGGAAAAACATATTGATTATGGGGGGCTAATAATATTGACCTTAAAATGATTAATTAAAAACTGCATTTATTCTAGCTGAAATAAAACAAATAAGACTTTCTCCAGAAGAAAAAATATTATAGGAAATACTGTGAACAATGTCTTGCTCTATTAAACATCATTTGTGAAATATTTGAAAAAAAATTCACAGGAGAGATAATAATTTTGACTGTGCATAAATCCTACAGTATGTTTAAACATCATATCATATCCTCAGGTACGCACCTATTGGTATCCTCTTCCTGATTGCTGGTAAAATCGTGGAGATGGATGACATCACAGCGATGGGCGGTCAGCTGGGCATGTATACGGTTACGGTGATCATCGGCCTCATGATACACGGCATAATCATTCTGCCCACTTTATACTTCGTCATCACTCGCAAAAACCCCTTCATCTTCATCACGGGTTTGCTGCAGGCTCTCATCACAGCTCTCGGCACCTCGTCCAGGTACGCCACTTTATTATTCATATTTCTATATATATATATGTATATTGATACTGAAATATTTGAAATAATACAATATTGTTATGTTATAGCCAGTGATGGTTGTCAGTAATACTGTAAAAGTTACAAGTGCACTGTAAAATATTAATTACATTTGTGCTGCAAAATTTAAGCAAAGTTGTCATAGGTAATTTACAGTGCTCTTGTACATTTCCCAGTAATACTGTAAAAATACTGTAAAATTTACTAGCGCACTGTAAATGTTTAACTTTAATTGTGCTGTAAAACTACAACACAGTTGTAATTGTTCATTTACAGTGCACTTGTAACTTTTAAAGTAATACAGGTAACCAAAATTGCCAGTAATACTGTAAATTCTACAGCAATATTTTACAGTGTAGAAATTCCAGTGTTGTGACAACTCTATGTCTGACATCATGGGAAGATTTGACAGCTATTTCACAGTTTTTATTTATTTTTTATTATTGTCCACCAGCTCTGCCACTCTTCCCATTACCTTTAAATGCCTGGAGGAGAATAATAAAGTGGACAAACGCGTGACTCGATTTGTTCTTCCTGTTGGAGCCACCATCAACATGGACGGAACAGCTCTGTATGAAGCCCTGGCAGCCATCTTTATCGCCCAGGTGAACAACATGGAAATGAACTTCGGGCAGATCATAACTATTAGGTGGGTTATTTTCAAATCAAATCATTCATTTATTCCTTTTCCTTCTGCTTAGTCCCTTTATTCATCAGGGGTCGCCACAGCGGAATGAACCGCCAACTTATCCAGCATATGTTTTACACAGCGGATGCCCTTCCTGCTGCAACCCAGTTTTGGGAAACACCCATACACACTCATTTACATATACACTTTGGACAATTTAGTTTATTCAATTCACCTATAGCGCATGTCTTTGGACTGTGGGGGAACCAGAGCACCCGGAGGAAACCCACATGAACACAGTGAGAACATGCAAACTCCACACAGAAATGGCAACTGGCCTAGCTTGGACTCGAACCAGTGACATTTTTGCTGTGAAGCGACTGTGAGTCACTGTGTCGCCTTCACATATAATATTTTTTTTTTTAATAAAATAAAATAAAATAAATTAATTAAATATAAAGAAAAATGAAATAAAAATAAATTAATAAAAATAAAATAAAAATGTTTTTGAATAAAAACTAAATTAAACTAAATTAAACAGAAATAAAAAATGTAATTATAAGAAATTTATAAATTAAATAAATAAGAAATTTAATTAAAAACAAAATAAAATAAATAAAAATGTTAAAAATAATAAAATAAAAAATGCTGATGTATGAATTAGTGTTACACTAATAATCTTATTTTAATCATATTTTCATATATCATAGATCATATATGATATTTGCGATTATAACCAAATACCAGTATCAATTATAGTTTGCGATTTCAAACTTGCTATTGAAACTGTGTGCGTTGAAAAGAGTTTAACATTTTTAAATCACAACAAATCAAAACCATTTTTTTATATATTTTAAATTTTTACAAGACCCAGCAACTGGTATGTGTGTGTATGTGTGTCTGTGCTGTTTTTTAAGTCCATGTAATTAATTCTAAACAGCTTCAGCTGTGTGTGTTAGCAATCAGCGGAACAGAAACAGGTGTGGGTGAGTGGTGCATGACAGGATTTCTAGTCCTGAGTGAAAGTGAATGATTCCCAGCAATCTACAAGCCTGAATCACTGGTGATTGTGACAACACTGGCTCTTCATCTATGTTCAGACAGTCACAATATATATTTTTGCACTTTTTGCTGTTTGGTTGAGCACCCATTTAAAGTGATGTGCATGCGTTTGTGCTTATTTCATATATAATTAAAAGAAATAACTTGTTTTTTTAACATGCATTTCTATTTCTAGATTATACTGACACTCATCTCAGGCAGCCTCTAAATCTAAAAAAAAAATCTGATTGGGATTGATAACAATATTGTGCAGCTTTTTAAATGAAGAGCTGTTGATTTGGCTGAATAATTGATATGTGTATTATTAATGTAGCATCACGGCCACTGCTGCAAGTATCGGAGCGGCTGGAATTCCACAGGCTGGTCTGGTCACCATGGTGATTGTGCTGACTTCAGTTGGACTCCCAACCGATGACATCACCCTAATCATTGCAGTTGATTGGTTCCTGTGAGTGACCTCATACTGAATCTTGATTTCATCTCTTTTTCTCTCAGTCTATATCTATTAACATTTAATAGAATAAAATTAAACATCAGAAAAATAAATTATAATAATAAAAAAAATGCATTTTCTGTACTTATATATGATTTATTATTTTATTTTTTCTTGATTTTATTTCATGATTTATTATGATGTTTGAGGAAAATGTACTTTTTGTTTTATTCGGTGAACTACTGATGCCATTTTTTACCTAATTTATTTTTAATTAATATTAATTAATATTTAAAAAATGTATTTACCTAATAAAAATGTTATTTATAATGTTAGAAATGGTACAAAAAATCAACAACAATATGCCCTTTTTTTATATATATGTTGATGTTAGACAACACAATACCCATGTTTTATCTTCAGAAGAGCTAAAAAATCATAAAATTACATACACTACCTTGCAAAAGTCTTGTTGTTAATCCCAGTTTTGAGAGCAACAAATAATAACTTGACTTCTAGTTGATCATTTGAATCATTCAAGTGGCCGATTTTTCTGATGAATTATCTGTTGAACTGCTTCCCAATAATCACAAATACTGCACAAGACCTATTTGAACCTAAATAGACCCCCAAGATTATTACAAAAATCAGTCAAGTTTGGTGAAGGAAAAATCATGGTTTGCGAGAGATCTGCAGAGTGGATGGCAACATCAACAGCCTGAGGGATCAAGACATTTTTGCTGCCCGTTACATTACAAACCACAGAAGAGGGCAAATTGTTCAGCAGGATAGCGCTCCTTCTCATACTTCAGCCTCCGCATCAAAGTTCCTGAATGCAAAGAAGGTCAAGTTGCCCCAGGATTGGCCAGCCCAGTCACCAAACATGAACATTATTGAGCATGTCTGGAGTATGATGGAGGAGGAGGGTGTAGGGATTGTATACAGTTTAACCCAAAGAATGACCAGTCTGGTAGATGAAGAAGAGCCGGAGTCAGAGATTTTAAAAAAATAAATTAAGTTTACTGAAGATAGTTTGCAGTTTCATTCGCAGAAGCCAGCTTCAACACTCTCAATGAGTTCCTAGGCCGCTCTGCTTACAGTTTCAACAATCGAACAATTATACTCTTTACACAAGTCCAGAAAGGGTGGGATCCAGGTAAACAGTTCTCATTGGTTACAACAGAAATAGACAATTCTAAATACATGCGTCAAAGAAACATAGTATCTACTTCCAGATATGGATGGCCTTAATGTGTGCGTCAAAGAAAGCCTTGTATTTGTATCCAGATATGGATGGCGACCTGATGCCTAGAGGTGAGGTCGCCCTAAGTTATTAGGAGCTGATCTCCAACCTGTAAAAAGCTAAACCAGGAACACAATAGACACAAAAGACCATCTGTGTTAAAGACTCCAAGGATGTTTCTTGTACGTTCAGCTGTGTTATCAGGCTGGTTCAAGACTGTTTCCATCAACAGTCTGCTGCAATATCTTGGCTACACACAGTCTGTCTCCACACAAAAAGGAATTACATTACTATTAATTATACTCAAAAACAGATCAATCAAACAGCTATAAAATTATAGGCAATATATCAGGACAATAAAACAGGTGTCTTCTTCTCCTCTGTATTGGACCTCTAGACATAGGAACAGATAGAGAGAGAGAGAGAGATCTCCATGACCTATGACCTGGTCTGTGTGTCTCCTGAAAACAAAGTTAAAATAGACAGGCAAAAAGAGAAACAAGGACACAGAACATTCTTACAGTAAGCAGTTTTAACTTATTCATTAGTTAAAATCAATTCACAGTTAAATACTGAGAAACAGGATGATGAAAAGGATAAACGGTGGTCCATGATGAGACGGATTGGAAAGCAGAAATCCGAATCCTTCAGTCCCCCCTTTTGACCCGAATGGAGTCCAAACTCCACTTCCGGTCAGCCAGTGAGGTCACTAAGGAGAGTGAAAGTAATGACTCATGCTCCCTTAATAAGTTCGCAGAGTTTTCTTCACCCCTTCTTGGACATGCTGGAACCTAAAAATTCCAGTCCCCAAGCTAAGGGCTCTTTCACTCTCCACTCACAAAAGGAGTTCACGCTTCTCATCATCGGTGGGATTAAGGGTCCTGCAAGCAGAAGTAAATACATACAAAAAACAACAGCGGACTAAAGTCCAGAATGTGAACACAAATGCGCAAGCCCTAAAAGTCCTCCAGAAGTAAACAACTCATAATTTCCATCGATACTTCCTCTGATGCATCTACAACTTGCTCCAACTCTAAATCCAAACATACAGGCCAATTCTAAGGTTCAGAGATTCTCTGATCAGACACAAAAGGTCATCCACTCGACCTAAGCCACTCAGGATTCAAATTCATGACCTGCAAAAACATCTTTATTTTCACCAGTTTTAAAACCTTCATCAGCATGTTCACTAACTTCAAATTAGAATAATGAAGCATTTTTACATTAACACACATTAAACATGCCAACAGCACAATAGTCCAATTCAGCACCATTACCATGTTTAATTATCACCTCGCTGAACTCCATGTCAGTCAAGTCCACTTAAAATATCTTTTCATTCAAATAATGATGTGATTGGAGTGATGCTACACATTCCTCTGTATCATTGATAGGAAGTGTACAAGCACCCTTGTCCTGGCCATAATGAGCCAAATTCACCTTCACAGTTAACAAACTAATATCAAATCCACTCTCTGGAAGCCGGGCTAAATGAATTGAGCCAGACCCTCAGTCACCTCAAAGAGACTAGATATAGATATTACCTGTTACCTAAAGACCAAGAAAGATGTAATGGTTTTTACAAACTATTAATCCAAGTCATTAACATGCAATAAGAGGGATTGTGAATCCATTTCTTTTGTTCCCACGTTTTAGGGGTTTAATAAAATCTTAGTCAAATTCAACAAAGATCAAACTCAAGCATCTTTTAACAGAAATAAGACTAAACCTTATGATTATCTTCTCAACGTGTCATTTGTACCATTTACTTTACTCTGACTAAACCAGTCAACATAATCAGAAGCAAACAGTATGATTTTGTATAAAATTCATTTGATTCTTACTGTCTGGTCAATTAGAAATGCTCACAAGTTAGTTATTTGCTAAAACTTTTGATTATTTGAAAATCTTTCATACCTGTCATTTGACAGTAAAACCTGTTTAAAAGCATTACCAATTGAACAAGAACAGACTGAGTTAACAACTCTTTTACCACATATAATCAAGACTCTTGCTTGGATATGGACTACTAAATTTTCATTTAAAGACAGTCTAAGTTTCTGTAAAACTTGTCAGTATTCACAATAATAATATTAACTTGAGTTGACTTGACTGCTTAAAAATGCTGTTAAAGTTCACGCTGCATTTCTGTTTACTAAAATGTTCATTTTTGCTGCAGCAGTATAAATACTTCTTACTGAATTTAACCATCAGATGCAAACACTTTCATTCAACTTTATCTCTTTGTTCTATACAACATCCAAACGATTATGTTCCTCTACCATTGAGGACACACACACATAGACAGAGTGATTTACTGCAGCATTTGCCTTTAACACAAATGACTTCAACTCAATTCTCTGCTTATTTTTCCTATGCTAGAGTGAGGATGCTTTCTGGACTATTGTGGTTAGTGACTTAGCCAATGTCACTGTTTAAATGCCATCAAGTCTAAAATATTTAACATTAATATTCAGATAGCAAAGAATTAACTGTAATTAACCTTTGAACTTCACAGTCAATTTAGACATGGGTTTGTAACCTGATATGGATGGCAGTCTTCAATTTCACAGCTATAAGCTAATAAAACTTGTTTTAAAATTATTATTATTCCAGAAAGTAATCTGAACCAGGAAAAGAAGTCATTATTAACGATTGCAAACAGAGCCGGATAACCCATCCATTTAAAGCTCATCTCATGGTCTGCATCATCTTTTCATCAGATTCACTCAGCATTATTGACTTCTGCAATGTCTGGCATTTTGCTTATACAATCTGTAATAATATAACACTTATTCCAGAGGTTAGTGACAATATTCATACAACAGGGACGAATCATTCCCTCAGGACAATAAGCATTATTGTACCATAGACATGAATATTGTGACGGCTCATAACTAAGTTTGCTTTAGGTGTTGAACTCGCACAAACTTATTCCTAAAATTCTTTGTCCAGTTTCAACTGGATTTACATGATCTTTTATCAAGTTTCAAAGTTTCTGTTCATAATCAAAGTCTTTTCTAAGACAATCAGCTGGGGCATTTTGTTTTCTTAATATCGTTGCTAAGCAAGTCGATAACAGAAACAAAACACAACTCATGGCTTCACTCAAACAGTCTCTGTCTCTCTGTTTCATGCACATGATTTTTCTATAGTCTTAGACTATAACATTAAAATTATTACAATTCAGAATCTTTAATCATTCATTAACGTTCCAAATGTCAAAAGTTTGATCTCTTAAAACTCAGTTGGAACTATTTAAAGACTATGAGAATTTCTTGTAATTATTTTACCTTAACTGCTTAATTCCATTCAGCTGTGTTATCCAAACCATCTCACAGCCAGTCTTTATCTTTAGCCAACACCATCTCGAAAATGTCCTTCGTCATGCATAAGGACCTGCATCAGTAAAATACTATGAAAAATCAGACACATCAGTTAAAAATCATCTCAGCTTCACATTCAGGAATTCAGCATTCTTAAAAATCAAACCTTATATATCCAGTGCTGTTAAAGCAGCCAACCACATTGATATTGGTAAAATTTTAAGAAACTGTACTGTCTCCAATGGTTCTTGAAAGCCCATTGCCATTATCTTTTTACCAATCATCTCCTTCAGGGTATCATACCCTGGCATAGTCCATTGATGCTTGTCACAAGGACAGACATGTCCTCAATAAAAGCAGGATTCTCGTGATCAGGTCTGGACGGGGCCACTGAGGCAGATTACTGTAACTTCAAACAGTTCCCCTCTAAGGATGCTTTAGGCCGA